CTAGCAAGCTGACCCTTGGTTGTCAGTTGAACAGTGTTTGCTCCGACACATTGGTGTGGTTGGCTTCCGGGTTAAGCGTGTGGTTGTTAAGAAGCGTGGTTTGGCGGGTCATGTTTTGGAGGACTCTACCTTCGCCTCCCGAGCCTGTTGGAGAGTTGCAGAGATGAGACGATTGAAATTGGGGAGAAAAAGGGTAAAATACAAACAAACAAACAAACAAACAAACAAAAAAGTACCTGAATGTGCTTGAGTGGCCCAGCCAGAGCCCGGACTTGAACATCTCTGGAAAGACCTGAAAATAGCTGTGCAGCGACGCTCCCCATTCAACCTGACAGAGCTTGAGAGGATCTGCAGAGAAGAATGGGAGAAACTCCCCAAATACAGGAGTGCCAAGCTTGTATCTTCATACCCAAGAAGACTCGAGGCTGTAATCGCTGCCAAAGGTGCTTCAACAAAGTACTGAGTAAAAGGTCTGAATACTTATGGAAATGTGATATTTCCGTTTTTCTATTTATAAATGAGCAAAAATCTCTAAAAAACCTGTTTTTGCTTTGTCAATATTGGGTATTGTGTGTAGATGAGGGGGGGAAACAATTTTAATCAATTTTAGAATAAGGCTGAAACAACAAAATGTGGAAAAAGTAAAGTGGTGTGAATACTTTCCGAATGGACTGTCATTTTACAGTGTCATAAAAGTCTGAATATTAACATGGGATCTCAAATATATATTTCACTAAATAATGTATGCCACCGATATCATGCAGGTGCAACGACATATTTATTTCTGAGCCAATTGTGCTAGTTCTTCACAACAAGTAATTATGTAAATGATGAAATGGCATAGTATCTGACAAATTAAGTTCTAGCGCGTGACATCACCTCTGAAAGGAGGGGCCATGATCGTGCAGTTTCTGTCTCAGTTTGGATGGATAGATGTTCTCAAAGCCCTGCTTGCATACCTCGCAACTGTACACAACCTACAACCGACTTAGTTTCAGCAGGAATACAAGAGAGGAAAAAACGGTCTGGAATCAGTTGGTACAGTTGAGACTTTAGGGAGGGATACATCAAGACAAGCGTGGGCGGACGTACTGAAGATATCCGTTGCACCAGCGGGAGCTCAGAGACTGAAGCCTGCAGCAGCATCAGTATGGATGGAGAGAATTATGGTAGGTTGTTTATTTTTCCGTCACTTCATATAGATAACGCATACTCACGCGTGTAAACACCTGTCTACAGTAAACATGGGCGTTAATTCAGTTCTAGGTTTAAAGCGTTCGCTTCTAGCTTTACCAAAAGCCATGATCTGCGCGTGAAAATACACACGCAAGTCGACCAGATTCATGCCAGGCTACATACAGTTCCGATGTGTCAAGTTCAAGATTGGCGGAAGTTGTGAAGGCTGCCTGATGAACAGCACAGGTAGTCCGGTGGGAATTCATGGGCTATAAAAAGACATGCATGCTGAATTATTGAACATCATGGTGGTGAAGACTAGCGCCAGGGATGAATATGGGAAATGTTCCATAGAAATGTATATGGTTCCCTATCTATATAGGCACACAAAGCAGGGCTCCTTTCCAAAAGAGACTTTGGTCTCAATGGGACTCCCTGGGACTCGAAAAGGTTATATAAAAGCATGATGTTTTTATAGAAAAACTGAATGAATGCGAAGAAATATGCTTCAGTTTTGTCAGATTCTTCTTTAAATTGCATCAATACATAAGTGCATTCGGAAAGTATTCACACCCCTTAACTTTTTCCACATTTTGTTACATTGCAGCCTTTATTCTAAAATGTATTAAATAAAAAAAATATCCTCATCAATCTACACACAATACCCCATAATGACAAAGTGAAAAAAAATAATAATAATATAAAACAGAAATACCTTATTTACATAAGTATTCAGACCCTTTGCTATGAGACTTGATATTGAGCTCAGGTCATGACATGAGCTCATGGACATGATTTGGAAAGGCACACACCTATCTACATAAGGTCCCACAGTTGACAGTGCATGTCAGAGCAAGAACCAGCCATGAGGTTGAAGGAATTGTCCGTAGAGCTCCTAGACAGGATTGTGTCGAGGCACAGATCTGGGGAAGGGTACCAAAAAATATCTGCAGCATTGAAGGTCCCCAAGAACACAGTGGCCTCCATTCTTCTTAAATGGAAGAAGTTTGGAACCACCAAGACTCTTCCTAGAGCTGGCCGCCCGGCCAAACTGAGCAATCAGGGGAGAAGGGCCTTGGTCAGGGAGGTGACCAAGAACCCGATGGTCACTCTGACAGAGCTCCAGAGTTCTTCTGTGGAGATGGGAGAACCTTCCAGAAGGACAACCATCTCTGCAACACTCCACCAGTCAGGCCTTTATGGTAGCGTGGCCAGACGGAAGCCACTCCTCAGTAAAAGACACATGACAGCCCGCTTGGAGTTTGCCAAAAGGCACCTAAAGGGCTCTCAGACTATGAGAAACAAGATTATCTGGTCTGATGAAACCAAGATTGAACTCTTTGGCCTGAATGCCAAGCGTCACGTCTAGAGGAAACCAGGTACCGCTCATCACCTGGCCAATACCATCCCTACGGTGAAGCATGGTGGTAGCAGCATCATGCTGTGGGGATGTTTTTCAGCGGCAGGGACTGGGAGACTAGTCAGGATCGAGGGAAAGATGAACTGAGCAAAGTACAGAGAGATCCTTGATGAAAACCTGTTCCAGTGTGCTCAGGACCTCAGACTGGGGCAAAGGTTCACCTTCCAACAGGACAACGACTCTAAGCACACAGCCAAGACCACACAGGAGGGGCTTCGGGACAAGTTTCTGAATGTCCTTAAGTGGCCCAGCCAGAGCCTAGTCTTGATCCCGAGAGAACATCTCTGGAGAGACCTAAAAATAGCTGTGCAGCGACGCTCCCCATCCAATCTGACAGAGCTTGAGAGGATCTGCAGAGAAGAATGGGAGAAACTCCCCAAATACAGGTGTGCCAAGCTTGTAGCGTCATACCCAAGAAGACTCGAGGCTGTAATCGCTGCCAAAGGTGCTTCAACAAAGTACTGAGTAAAGGGTCTGAATACTTATGTAAATTTCAGTTTTTTTTATTTTTATAAATTAGTAAAAATGTATAAAAACCTGTTTTCGCTTTGTCATTATGGGGTATTGTGTGTAGATTGATGAGGGGAAAAAAACAATTTAATCAATTTCAGATTAAGGCTGTAACGTAACAAAATGTGGAAAAAGTCAAGGTCTGAATACTTTCTGAATGCACTGTATAGGCTGTGTGTGTTGCTTCAGTCCAGCCATATCCTAGTTAGGTGTTGCATGCTCCAGATAAACAAGCCCCAATGTAAACTTATCTCTTTACAGGAATTTACATTCTATGCATGAGATCATCTGACACTTCAGGAAGGTCATCCTTGATGATGTCATTCCATGATTCCATAGGGCCGTCAGCATGCTCCTGATTTATGGAGGCTTGATCATGTCAATTATTTATTAGTTAGCTTGCTGACGGTCTAATGCATCTGAAAATAGAAGCTGGTGGCTGCAATGGCCTCATTGGGTGGGTGGGTGGGGGGGGTGCCATCCTTGCCTGTGTCTCCTTACTTACTCTGCAGTGGGGGATGTTGCTAGGTACATTTACATTTACATTTTAGTCATTTAGCAGACGCTCTTATCCAGAGCGACTTACAGTTAGTGAGTGCATACATTATTTTATTTTTCATACTGGCCCCCCGTGGGAATCGAACCCACAACCCTGGCGTTGCAAACGCCATGTTCTACCAACTGAGCTACATCCCTGCCGGCCATTCCCTCCCCTACACTGGACGACGCTGGGCCAATTGTGCGCCGCCCCATGGGTCTCCCGGTCGCGGCCGGCTACGACAGAGCCTGGATTCGAACCAGGATCTCTAGTGGCACAGCTAGCACAGCGACCAACCGTCATCCCTAACTAGCCCACTTGGGACACCAGACAGAGACCTTTTTATGCATGGCTGTGCTGCTTAATTTAGC